CATGTGTTGAGGATACAAAATTACAAAACAGAAGGAACCTGGGCACCTGGTGATCATGGCACCACTAATCAGTACTGGACTCTCTGAAGGTTTTGGCTTTTGTTTTAATTATAACTTAAAAAAATGTATAAGACATAAGAAGTTTCAAAAATAGTAGTGTTCCCATAGACACTTCACCCCACTTCTTCCCATAATAATATCTCACATACCCATAGTATCAATACATTTTTAAAGCAGGAACTTGACCTTATTACAGTGTAGTTCACTTGAATATAGACCTTATCCCTTGCACTCCATACATGAGAGAGAAATAAACGTCTTTTTCATTTAGGCTACTTGGTTTTGTTTTTTTATCACTCACAATGAAATCAATTTCTAACTGATATAATTTCCAAAAGGTATAGATGGCATCCAAACTCCACCCCTGAGAAAGGCACATGATAGGCAGAAAGAGCTGGTCCAGATACAGGGAACAACCAGACAACCTTCAGGGAAATATGGAGAAGTCCTTTCAAACAGTGGAAGGCATAGGACTATCCAGCCATCTTCCTTTGATGGTGCTGGTGAACGGACTGTCCTCTCCCACCTCCTTGCTCCACCACTGCCCTCGGCAGGCATCCCTGTCCCCACGCTTAAATCTATGCTCATCTTTCTCTTGCTGGGTCCACCTCCACCCCCACCTCTTACCTATGCAGAGCTCTGCGTCCCCTGCTAATTCAGGGAGACCTGAGATGCTCATTAGTGTTGCTGGTTCCTGGCCCATCAGAGTCACATGTCAGGACAGGGAAGCGAAGGCGGGTGACATTTGTTGGTATTTTCAACTCGGGTGAAAACAAACAAATTGAACTGGAGTTAAATGTCAAAGGCTCCTGAGCGTGCTGCCTGGGAGGGAGGGAGGACCATCTCCACGGGGGGACAGGCTTCTCTGTGTCCCTGAGGGGGTGTGTGTGGGCGATGCAGCTGTGTTGGAAGTCTACCAGGAAGGCTGAGTGGGCTGTGTTTGTCAAAGTCCACCTTCATCCCACCATGGGCTGTCTGGTTGGACATGGGCAGTCCCCCAGGGAGGACATGCATTCGTTACCCATTGCTTCACCCAGAGAACATTTACTGAGCGAGCACTCACTACATGCAAAAGACTCTACAAGAGGGGCTGAGGGGTAACTGATGATGAGACAAATATGGCTGGTCCCTGCCTCCTGGGAACAGGCCTCCCTTAGAGAGAGCAGAAAGCATCTAAACATACAATGTAAGAAGAAAATGGTCATCCTCGTCAGGGGTACAATGCTCTTTGGGTTCTTAGACAAAGAGGGAAGGAGAAATCAGGGATGGATTTCAAAGGCTTTGCCACCAGGCTTGAAGGATCAACATTTAGACATGCACGGAGGAGGGTTTAAGGGGACAATCAATTCAAAGATAGCACAAGCCACGTCTACCCACATTGCTATCAGCTTTACTATCATTGTCACCCCCAAACTGGATGGAAATACACTCATGGAGCTGAATGCACATGATGTAACCCAGTAAGGAAGGCTTTCTGGGGTCCATGAACTTATTGGAATTGTGTGCGGAATTTTGTGTAGTCAAGCACTTTTATGGGACGAATATGCATAGCCCCCACCAAATTCTGCAAAGTAGAGGTGATTTCCCCCTAAGTTGAACCCCTATTCTAGAAGCTGGCAAGAAATAAGGCCTTGCTGGATCTCATACTATGGCTTGTCTAAATGGATCCACTCCATAAAGAGCAGGTTGGAGATTTCTAAATGCAGCCCTTCCTTCACAGACTCTATTCCTGAGATCTGATTTGGAGAGACTAAACCAGTTCTAGCCCCAGCCCCAGCCCCAGCTCGGGGAGGGGGAGAGGAGGCAGAGAACAGGATGAGGGGGGGAGTCCAGGTAGGGCCAGCTCTTCTCCAAGGAAGCAGCATCCTCTGCTTAGGTTCAGCCCTGCAGTGATTGAATTATCCACCCTTTCACTTAATGAGCATCTCTCTGGACTGGCCATGAGACCTGTGTTCAGGAGAGCAGACATTTCATTAGGAGAATTCAGTGGTGCTGTGTTGATCCTGGTTTCCTGACAATTACAAGGAGGAGCCAGAGTCCTAAGCACCATCCTTTTGTGAGCCTTGCCTCGCTCAAAACATGCAAGCTCTCATCCATCCCCTAGTCTCACGGGCAGCGCTATGTGACCGGGGAGGCAAGAAAGCCCTTGTAGGGGTCGCCAAAGTACATGAAGGCCTAGTGGGGCTGTGGTTTGGGGCCTGGACCACTCTGGCTGCTGAGAGAGGATGAGGAGGCACGTCACTTCTCCCTTCCAGACTAGGAATGAGCAAGAACTGCATGGGTGGCTGGTGGACAGTCTTCCAGGAACCATCACTCCTTCATCTTGTCACTTCCAAGGGTACCTCTCCCAGTGAAAATGACATTATGGACATTCCAGGTCACCATCAGGATCACCATTATCTTCCTTGCTACACAGGAGAAGCAGAGACACAAGAAAGAGGCCAGGGGCATTGACGGAAAACCCTGGAAGGACGGTTAAAGTGATCAATCTTACCTCCTCCGTGAAGGTCTTCTGGAAACAAAGGGTGAGACACACACCAGACTTGTTGTGTAATGTGACAGTGCATGGGTTTCCAAGGTGGCGCTAGTGGTAAAGAACCCACCTGCCAATGCAGGAGACACAGGAGATGTAGGTTCGATCCCTGGGTCAGGAAGATCCCCTGGAGGAAGGCATGGCAACCCACTCCAGTATTCTTGCCTAGAGAATCCCATTGACAGAGGAGCCTGGTGGGCTACGGTCCAGAGGTTTACAGAGTCAGAAACGACTGAACTGTCTTAGCATGCACGCACATACTAAACAGTGCAGTTGGGAGTTCTTCTAGGCCAGCCCGCTTACCATCCATGGTATCAGCTGGCCTCAAGGCCAGAGTCATGGCTGTTCAACGTCATAAGTCCAAGGCCACCTAATCCTGAGTCCACCATGCCATCAGTCGGCTCCCGCAAGACCATAAGCACGATCCATAAGAACCACATCAGCTGTCAAAGCCACAGCAGCCAGCGGTGACACCAGTCAGGATTATAACGTCCCTGTCCACACTGGTGAGCTCTGGGCCCAGCTGGACTCTCACCTCAGGGCATCCTGGTTGTGGTAGAGAGAGGTGCACTTCGGTCTTTGGGTCTGTAGTGTGTGCAGGGAGCCTGTCCCAAATTCTCTACATCAGAAGTGAGAACTGAGGGATTAGACACACCTGATCATTCCATCGGGTCCAGAAGAAATTACAGATGGGTGACAGGGGCTCTGAATGGAGCCACACAGGCCACCAACAGAAGAGAAATGACTGATGACATCAGCAAGGCTCCCTGCAGTCAACCGTGAACAAAGGGAATAATCCTTCCTCCTGGCTGTTGCTGCTATTTAGTTACTCAGTCGTGTCCGACCCTTTGGGACCCCGTGGACTGTAGCCCACCAGGCTCCTCTGTCCATGGGATTCTCCAGGCAAGAATACTGGAGTGGGTTGCCATTTCATACTCCAAGGAATCTTCCTGACCCAGAGACTGAATCCACATCTCTTGCATTGGCAGGCAGATTCTTTACTACTGAGCCACCAGGAAAGCTTCCTTCTTGCCCACACCTCCCTATAGCATGGGAAGAGGAACAGATACAGAGAGAGGGAGGGAGGGAGTTAGAGAGAAGGATAATATGAGAGAGAGAAAAAGGGGAGGAAGGAAGTTGAGGGGGAAGCAAGGAGAGAGAGGGAGAGAATTAGAAATGAATACATGGAGCTTTGGAAACAGACACACTGGCTCCCAAGGGCAGGAGGCTGGTTGTAGTTTAAGCTACCAATGCAGAAACAGGGTCCTGTTGTCAAGTACAGGCGATGAAGCTGTAGGTGATTTCTTTCCCATGGGGGATGTTCCATGGCCCTGCTTCACCGTGATTCACCACTGCAGGTGGATCCAGTGAACAATCAGCTGTGCTTCCCTATGTGTGTCCTATAAGCTACTGTCACCCTGGAAAGTCACTGGTTGTGTCTGGAGCTTGGAAGGAGAAGGAAGACGGGAAAAGGAGAGGTGAAGAGTGAGGCTGTGGCAACATTGTGATGGAGAAAGCAAGATGTGACTGGCCAGCCCCGATAGTCTCAGTGACATCCCACTATGGAGGATGGATGAAGTCTCAGCTCTCTCTAGCTTGAGGGATCTAAGAGGGAAGCATCCTTATAAACAGCACTGCCCCACCACACCCATGGCCATCACCCTTAGCAAAGCCACTCCCCCATCGTAACTCCCCAGTAGTGGAAGTCCCCCCTCATTCTTTTACCCAGACAGTCACAGACACACACAACTCTCTTTGAGTCTGGATTTGTTGTCCAGATGCTTCTTTCCTTTAGGTTCAAAACTCCCTCTTTTCTTCCCCCCCAAAGGCATTTCCCCAAGGGAAGTGTGGTCAGGACTGAGTGTTTTTGCAGAAGGGCTTGAAGTTATAACTTACTGATCCTTTACAGGGTCTGATTTGCTGGGGGCAAGTTTCATGTCCAGGATCAGAAAGTCACTCATACTGACTATCCTCTAGAGCAAACTAATGTCAAGGTTGTCACAGACATGCCAGAGCTCAAAGTCAATAGGTATGTAAGCCCCATCCATCATTCATCAGGTTCAAACATCCACCAGCCTCCCCCTGATTCAGGTTAACCCTCAGTCCCCATGAGCTTTTGTGCTTGACTAACTCTCTGCTCCATGTCATCCTGTTAGGAGTGACCCTGTTCAGCTGGGATGCTCCAGACCAAGAGGATGGACTGCTAGATCCAGTGGGCAGGGGAAAAGTCAGAACTTCATTACTTCAAAATCCCCTCATTATCTAATGTTCTCAACCTTTTCCATAATTAAGAAAATGCAAATGAAAACATCTGAATATCATCTTCCATTGAGAGGGTGATAAAGACGGTTAATATCCAGTGCTATTGCCCTCCCTCCTCTGTGAGTGGCTGCCTTTGCATCACCACGGGATTAGCGTGTATCACTCTACCAAACACACCGTGGTCTCCCGGCCTCACCTGCCTCCCAGATCATTAGCTGCAGCTCAGTCGCCACTCTGGCAGAACACTTCCATGCAGACAAGCGTGGCCTGGAATCACACCTCAGGGCATGGGACCTGGCTTCTAGAGCATCTCCAGGAAGGGGCCATTGGAAAGCAGAAGATAGGAGAAAGCTAGCCAGCCAGCTTTCTCTATCGCCTCTTCCCTTCAAAGGATGGATTTCCCACAAAACCTGTCCAGAGAAGTTTTGCCTGGCTAAGCAGGTTTGTCTGATGCCCCCTTGTGGGCTGCTGTGAAGCCATGGCCATCACAATGATGGTGCCCCATCACCATGCGTGCCTCCCATCCTTCCCTGCCTTTCTCCCCTTTGCCCTCACTCTCATTGCCCTGGGACTGTACCTCCTAAATAAGCATCAGCACTTCATCCCTGCCCCAGGCTCTCATTTCTAGGAACCTCAGGCAAAGATAACCACTCCAACAATTATTGCTTCTAGGCTTCTTTGCGTCTTTCATATTTAGGGTACCAGAGAAGACCCAATCTTTGTGGAATAGAGTTCAGCTTGAACTGAAACCTCTTGGATACTGTGGTAGGAAGAATGCTCAGATGGCCTCCAAGAGGCTCAGCTCCTCTAGAATTCCCTCCCCCTCAGAGTGAGGAAGTAGAATATGGGGACTTTGAACAAGCTGGCATATTACTCCCATGAGTATGTTACATTATAAGACATAAGAGTTTTGTGGATGTTACTGTAGAAGGTCCCTAATCAACTGACTTTGACTTTGAGTTAATCAAAGGGGAGATTATACTGCATGGGCCTGATTTAAACAGGTGAGCCCTTAAAAGGGATTCAGCCCTTTCTAAGATCAAAGAGATTTCTCCTGCTGGCCTTGAAGGTGCAAACTGCCATGCTGTAGAAGGGCCATGTGGCAGGGGACGGCAGGCAGGCTCTAGGAGCTACGGGATTCAGCCAACAAGAGAGCAGGGGCCTCGGTCCTACAGACACAAGTAACAACAGGTAACAACAATCTGAGAGAGCTTGGGAGCGGATGTCTTCCTAACTGAGCCTCCAGGTAAGAATTCCTTCATTTCAGCCACATGAGATTCTGAGCAGAGGATCTACAAGACACAGCAAGGCAATACATCAGTGTTATTTAAGTCACAGTACTTGGGGTGTGTGTGTGTGTGTGTGTGTGTGTGTGTGTGCGCGCGCGCGCGCGCTCAAGCACTCAGACATGTCCTACTTTTTGTGGCCTCATAGACTGTAGCCTGCCAGACTCCTCTGTCCATGGGATTTTCCAGGCAAGAATACTGGAGTAGATTGCTATTTCCTCCTCCAGAGGATCTTCCCAACCCAGGAATCGAACCCTCATCTCCCGCATTGGTAGGCGGGTTCTGTACCACTAGCACCACCTGGGAAGCCCTGGTTATTTGTTGTACAGTGATTAAATCTAACCCAGATATCCAGAAGTGTGAATTCTTTTCAGACTAAAAAGAGGAGGCACAGAGAGTCAGAAGAAAATGAAATCATACCAGGGGAATTGGATCGAGGAAAGAGAGGCTGAAGGAAATCAGGCTCAGGCATGCTGACAAATTTGTTTCCTAAGCTGGAAATAGCCAGATTTGATAACTACTCTGGATACTAGTAATTGCTGCTATCTTTGTGTCTTCTGCTCTCACATACAGGAGTAAAATAATGGTGAGGATGATGACGACGACGATGATAGTACAATGGTAACCCCTTAGTTTGCACAGCTCTTTATAGTTAAAAAAAAAAAACAAAACAAAACAAAAAAACCTTGTACCTTTGTTTGCACGTTTGATTCTCCAAGAACTCCGGAGAGAATATTTTCATCTTCATTTTACAAGTGAAGAAAATGAAAACAGAGAGTTAAAGCCTCTCTGTGGTTACATCATTATTAAATGGTTGTCCAGAGCTCAAGGCTCATGGGTGCCTCCAAGGAGGAAGAGAAAAAGAAGAATGAAGAAGGAACAGCTCTGTTCCTTGGGTCAAGGCCATGAGAACAAGTCTGAAAGGCAGCCCTACTTAATGCTTACTTAGAGGAATTTTGGCACCTGGGGAAAAATGGCATTCCAGAGTTCCCCTCACCCCGTACCTGCTTTTCTCTAGCCAGTAACAGGTCAACCATACAGCCCCTTCTGTTTTTCACTCAGTGAAGGATTAGACTGGTCAGCGTCTCTCCCCTCTGGGCATCCCACTCTCTCCCTTCTGCACCTCCGCTCCCTGTCTTCTTTTTCCTCCCCATCTTCCCCTATTGAAACATACCTGTTCTGATTCCCAGTCTCTGCCCACTAAGAATACCATCACCATATGGGGGTGTGAATGAATGATGGTTGTACATGCCTGTCTCCAAGCCAAGAGAAAGTGTGCATTTTAAGAGGGCTTTCCCACGGCTCTAATCCAAAAAAAGAGATTGTAATTATGTGTATTTGGGGCCTTGAAATATGAGTAAGCTGCCTGCTCTGCAAGAAAGCCTAGCATCTCACAAGAAGTTTTTGGGTATGGAATTAACCTTTTTCTCCCCCAAATGATTATCTTATCATAATTACAAAGGTAATTATTTGTTGTTATTCCTAGGAAAAAAAAAATAGGTGGAGCTTGCCTTATTATCAGACTAGGGTTACATCCGAAATGAGAAAACTCTTTAAAAAGCTTGCTGTTGCTGTTCAGTCTTAAAATTGTGTCTGACTCTTTGCAGCCCCATGGACTGCAGTACTCTTCCCTGTCCTTCATTATCTCCTGGAGTTTGCTCAAACTCATGTCCATTGAGCTGGTGATGCCATCCAACCATCTCATCCTCTGCTGCCCCCTTCTCCCGCTGCCTTTAATCTTTCCCAGCATCAGGGTTTTTCCCAATGAATCAGCTCTTCTCATCAGGTGGCCAATGTATTGGAGCTTCAGCTTCAGCATCAGTCCTTCCAATGAATATTCAGGGTTGATTCCTTTAGGCTTGACTGACTTGTACTCCTTGCGGTCCAAGGAATTCTCAAGAGTCTTCTCCAGCACCACAATTTGAAATCATTAAAAAAAAAAAAAAAGATCTTAAGCAAAACACTTGTGTTCAATATGTCTAACGTTCACCCATACCCATTTCTTCCCAGTTTCAGACAACACTTCTCAGCTCCCTTGCAGGTCTGTGAGCTCTGTGACTATGTCACAATGGAATGTGAGCAGGCTGTGCATCATCATCAGACATGATTACCTAGTCTCTCTCTTGCTCTGCTTTGAGGACCAAAGAGCTGGCTTCATGTTCCAGATGATGAATCTATAAGAAGATGGAGCCATCATCATCCTGGATCTCTGAGGACCACATGGAAGACAGTTGCCCTGAAGAGTCTCTCAGGCCCCTTTTACTTTGTATGGGTAAGAAGTAAACTTCTGTTGTGTTCGGGCACCAAGATCAAGATGCTTGTTATTAAAGCATAACTAGCTTATCCTAATTAATACATCTAATTTCACTGAGCCTGTCTTCTCCTTGATGATATGGAGAAAATCTGCCAGCCTTCATCCTAGGGTAGCCACGAGGAACAGATAAAACCACAGAAACCGCTTTGCAAACGTGAACCAGTATCAGGTTAGAGCAGAGAATGGGTGGTTCACCAGAAGGGAGGTTTTGCTGACACTTGGTTCTGTTCCTCCACGTGAGCAGAGTTGGTCCTGGTGCAGGAGGCAGGGAGGGCTGGGCAGTGGACATTCTCATGAAATGAGGTCCTGCTTAAGAGCAGCAAAAGCCCAGCCATCTCAGAAAACAGCAACACATGTTCCTTTTAGTGCTCAGCTCTACAACTGTCCTGGGTTTTCCAGGTGGTGCAGTGGTAAAGAATCTAGCTGCCAACGCAGGACAAGCAAGAGATACAGGTTCAATCCCTAGGTTGGGAAGATCCACTAGGAAATGGCAACCCACTCCAGTATTCTTGCCTGGGAAATTCCATAGATAGAAGAGCCTGGCAGGCTATAGTCCACGAGGTCACAGAGAGTCGGACGCGACTGAGCACACACCACAGCTGCATAATTGGGCTCTAAGTTCTGGCTTCACTGGGAGGTGATGGTCCAGAGCAATGGGAAATAACTCTCAGCTGCCTCTATTTCCTCAACAGTCAGAGCAGAAACACTCACACTCAGATTCCTTATGCTAACAGAACCCATCCCTTTCCCAGGACTCCACTGGGCACAAAGTACTAGCCAGAGACTATTTCCCAGCCCCTTGTAGGGTGAGGTGTGACATTGTGATCTTGTATTTTGAAAGGAAAGTGTGAAGAAGTGATGAGTGCAACTTCTGCATTGCTTGCTCTAAGGAAGAGCCTTTAATCTTAGCTTTTCTTTCCAGTCCCCACGTGTTAGAAAGCAAATGTGCCAGCCACACAGCTCCAACCATGCAAATGAGCACAATGCTCAGGGAGAGTTGAGCCACAAGATGGAAGGAACCTGGGTCTGAATACTCTGTCAATCACAGTAGTCCCAACAGCCTGAACCAACTAGACTGTTACATGAGAGTAAAACACACTTTCCTCTTGTTTAAGCCACTCTCTCAGGACTCTATAACAGCAACTTCACCTTTACCTAATTGAAATGCTGGGTGAAAAGAGGCTGCAGTGAATGCTTTAGTTTATTTCACACATGCTTTCTAAGAACCCATAGGGCCAATTGCAACAGAAGCAATCTTTCCTGTTTATGGAAACTGGCTAAAGATTGCTTCTTCCCTAAAAAGGAAAGCTGGCTTCTTCTCCTAGGCAGGCAGGCTGGGGCCTCTGAAGAGTCTAGTGATCTGTTGCCCCCATCAACTGACACTCCTCATTCCCTATTAATCCAAGGGAACTATATCTCCAGCTTGGCTGCCACATTCTCAACAAAGTGGACAAGAGTTTATGATGGAACTGTCAAAGGAGTAAAGTCTTAGACCAGAGGAGCTGCATGGAAAAGAATGACACAGGCCCCCTGGTATCCCTGCCCAGGGGTGATAGATGGGATAAGGTAAGAGACTTGGGGAGGATGTGAGTAATGTATAACTTGTTTGTAAATTGAAGTGAAATTGGAAACATTTTTTATGTAAATAGAGATATTTTAGGTACAGATATAAACATGCGCCCTTTGTCTTGATGCACAGCCCACCGTTTCTTGCTTCCTAACGGCCTCCATCCCCTCTCAGTCCTATCTTATCAGTCTTTTAGGGCCCAGAACAAATGCTACCTCTTTCCCTTGAGAAATCTACGTGTTTTCCACACCCAGATCAATTTCTTCCTTCTCCAAATTGGTAAAGCACTTATCTGTGCTTCCTTGGGGACCCTTGGAACTGTGTACCTTGTAGATGAGTTGGTGAAAATCCATAATGAAGGCTTGTAGAGTGGCCGGAGAGAGGACCTTTTAATGAGAGCATCTAATGTCTGTCTCTAAAACATGCGCCCTTTGTCTTGATGCACAGCCCACCGTTTCTTGCTTCCTAACGGCCTCCATCCCCTCTCAGTCCTATCTTATCAGTCTTTTAGGGCCCAGAACAAATGCTACCTCTTTCCCTTGAAAAATCTACGTGTTTTCCACACCCAGATCAATTTCTCCCTTCTCCAAATTGGTAAAGCACTTATCTGTGCTTCCTTGGGGACCCTTGGAACTGTGTACCTTGTAGATGAGTTGGTGAAAATCCATAATGAAGGCTTGTAGAGTGGCCGGAGAGAGGACCTTTTAATGAGAGCATCTAATGTCTGTCTCTAGCTTTCTGCTAAAGGACTCAAATATATGCTCACTTGATTTTTTAAAATTAACATTTTTATTTTTTTGGCTGCACTGCACAGCATGTAGGATCTTAATTCCCTGACTAGGGACCAAACCCATGCCCCCTGCATTGGAGGCATGGCATCTTAACCACTGGACCACCACAGGAGTCCTTCTCACTTGATTTTTATGTCAATCCTAGAGTCAGCTGCTATTGTTATCTCCACTTTAAGGATAAGGAAACTGTGGCACCAAGAGGTTAAGGAACCCATGGTCACCCAGCTAACAACTGGTGGAGAAGAGATTCCAACCCAGTAGAGAGCTGACAGTTATGGTCACTGCACACCGCTGCCCTCATTCATGAGAGGGACAAGCAGATACCCAAGAAGCTGGGCACAAGGGAAGTGTTCATGACAGAGGAGCTGGCTGCAGACGGGAGCAGGAGCCCCTGTGTTCAGAAGCCCCTGGGGCTTGTGTGTGGAGAGCCATCACGTAACAGCAGGCTTGAGTTTTGAGCTACTCAGCTGAGACAGCAAAACAATTCTGCCAATTAAGTCAAACATCTGGTCAATGTAGTGAAAAATCAGTCACAAGGGGGTCTGGCCATAGACCCAGGGCTCCTTCCAGGCAGTAGGTTCTTCCCCAGGTCCCAGGTGATGGAAGTGAGGCTTCCCTAGTTCCCAGACCCTAATTTGCATGCTCTCCCTTGATTGGCTGGGGAGATTCACACCTAATGCGGCCCTAAGGAGAAGGAGAGCAAAGGAGGGACAAATCCTGTGGGCTCTAAAAAGCGCGTCAGAATGGAGAGCCGCATTCACCGCAGATCCAAAAAGCACATTCCCAAGCTGGGTGGTAAATTCTGTACTGCCTGCTGTAGAAATGCAAATTGCCATAATAAATGCCGATTATCCCAATTACCTCTAATTGTCTGGCTTGTGTAGCAAGAGCATTACCATAGGAGAGACCGATAAGGGAACCGGTGTATTTAGCCGAACACCCTATCCTGGGAGTTGGGTTACAAATGAAGTAGGTGAGCTGGGCCAGGAAGCCCCCTCTGCGGTCCCTGGGAGCGATGTCGCAGAAAGACATGGGGGCTTCACAGTCTCCCAGCTGCTTGGGGACAGCACTGATGCAGTGACATCTTTATGCAATGGTCATTAAATGCTATTTTAAAAATTGGCCGTGTGCTGGAGAGATAAGGGCAGAGAATATATGCTTGTTCTCCATGCCTCCTTCCTTCTGGCCAGCTGGGTCTGCAGAACAGCTAGGGGGGAAGGGAGGCTATCGGATGGAACATGACATTATTTTCCATCATTGTAATGTAACATTTGATTCATCCATTTATTTAATCAACCAGCTGGGGCAAGCACACACTATATACCCAGCATCTGGAAACACAGAATTTTAGAGCCAAAAGTGACGTTAGAACTATGCCCACTCTGTGTACACAACCATCATACCAGGTGATTTCATTCCTTCCAGTAGCAAATAATTTCTTGAGTTTCTATCATGTGCCAGGCACTGCTCTAGGCACCAAGGACAGACACAGCAGTGAATAAATGAGACAAAACAGAGGAGAGACAGAGAATAAATGAGTTAAACAAAATAGAGATTACTAGAAGGCAGTAAGTGTTGAGAAAAAACAGGCAGGGGAGAGGATGGAGATTCTTGATGACCGGACTTGAGATCGAAATGCAAAGTAATCAGGTTGACATGAATGAAGATGACATAAAACCTGAAACTGTAGCAGAAATGATAGACTGGCCCTGCCACTAAAAACACACATGCTTTTAGTCAATAACTGAATAAACTAGAGAAAATGTAGTACAAGACAGAAACATGTGGTCCCCAGTTATCGACAAGTACATTAGCTAAGGTCGTATGTGTAGTTATGTACGCTCATTTTTTATTAGCTTAGGTAAGATCACAAGGCTTGCTGGGACCTCTTAATTCTCTTACAGTATTGATTAAGGCAGAGTAAATGCAAAATGCACGATTTGCACACACCCTTGTGAAATTAAAACCTCTCCATTCACTGATAGAGCAATAATTACTACAAGGAGCTAAGGGCACCTCAGCTAAACCAAGCAATGATTTCATTTGCCCACGGAGAGGAAAACAGGACCTCAGCAAGGAATCTTCACCTTGGTTGGGTCCAAGGACGGAAGCTTTGTGGGGTCATATGATGGAGGAGGCTCCAAAGATGACTGGATTATGAGGGAAGCTATCTAACTGCTTTCATACTCTCTTGCCCAATTCCAGGTACAACCATGGGGCTTTGGTTGAAGATGTCTCCTTCAGAGATATGGGGACCCCCTTCCAGGACACCCCCCAGGTGCCCTCAGTACCCGATTCACAGCCTCCCTGCCCTAAGCCCTCTCAGTCTGGAAAAAGCCCCAACACTACATTCCTCGCTTCCCTCTTCCATCCCAAACTTCTTTGCTGACATCCTGGTAAAGCAGTTCCAACTCATCAATGGGACCACAGTGCATACAAGCTCAGGGATATCTCACAGATGACAGCACTTGACAGTTTATAATGTTTTGTGTCCATTATTTTAAGTCCTCACAAAAATCCTACATCACTGTTTATGGAGAAGGGCACCCAGGTCCAGAGGAAGAGTCTAAGTAACAAAGAATGGAAGCCAGGCCAGTCTGGTCACAATGCACGTGGCCACTATTACCTCATCATGACCAGTTGCTTCCAGAGTCCACGATGCCCTTGTTTGTGGCTGAGCATATGGCTTCTAGAAAGAAGGCTTCTACCAGCCCTTCGTGCAACTAGGTGTGGCCACATGACTGAGTTCTGGCCATAGAGGTGTAAGTGGTAGGGGTAAATGCAACTTATAAGAAGTGTCCTAATGATACAAATGAACTTATTTACAAACAGATACAGACTCACAGACTTAGACAATGAATTTATGGTTGCCAGTGGGGAAGGATGCCCAAAAGGGACAATTAGGGAGCTTGGGACTGACATGTCTATATTTAAAATGAATAACCAATGAGGTCCTAATGTATAGCACAGGGAATTCTGCTCAATCTTTTGTGGCAGCCTGAATGGGAGGGGAGTTTGGGGAGAATAGATACATACACATGTATGGCTGAGTCCCTCTGCTATCCACCTGAAACTCCCACAACATGGTTAATCAGCTATATACTCCAATACAAAATAAAAAGTTAAAAAAAAGAAGGGTCCTTACAGGAAAATGTGATACACTCTTATTAGAATATAATTTGGTCTTCATCCTGGTCCTGGCTCAGAGGTCCTACAATCCTTTGTAATTTCCTGTGATGAGAGTCATAAAGGTATCTTTTGCTCTGTTAATGGTACTTTTGGAAAACACCTAAGGATGGGGGCTGGTTGCTAGGGGAGTCAACCATTTGGTTAGAGCTTGAACTTTCAGTCATACCCTCCTGACCTCTTGGAAAGGGAGTGGTACTGAATCAATCACTGGTAGCCAAAGATGAATCAATCATGCACGTATGACGAATCCTCAGTGAGAAGGGTCTGGAGAACTTCCAGGCTGGTGAACACCTGGTACCGGACATGGACATTCCCCGCCCCTTCCCACACATCTTGCCCCATGCACCTCTTACAAATGGCTGCTTCTGAGTTATGTATATATTTCTATAGGGAACTGGTGAACTAGGAAGTAAAATGTCTCTCTGAGTTCTGTGAGCTGCTCTAGCAAATTAATGAAATCCAAGGAGAGGACTGTGGGGAACCTCTAATCAATAGTCAGTTGCTCAGAAGCGCAGGAAACAAACTGGACTTACAGCTGGTGTCTGAAGTGGGGGACAGTCTTGTAGGACTGAGCCCTAAGCTGTGGGATCTGAAACTATTAATATCTCCAAGTAGATTGTGTCAGAATTGAGTTGTAGAACACACAGCTGACTTTGAGAAATTTGGGGTAGAAAAAAAAACACACATTGGAATTAGTGTCAGAATCATAGAAAGTTTGGGTGGGTCCTTCCTGGTATGTGGAATGTAGATGTGACGGCTGGAGCTGCACTGGCCATTTTGGGCCAAGAGGTGAGCTTGGAAATGGAGGCCATAGTTACCAGGGCAACAAGGTAGAAGGAGGCCCAGTAGCCTAGCTGGGCTTTTTATGTAAAATGGAATAAACTTCTATTGTCCAATTTGGATTTTCTGTAAGTCAAAGTCACACTTCATCCTAAATAATGTTTCATCTACAAACACAGCTGGCTTTAGAACACAGAGATAATCTTTCTACCTCTGCAACCAGAATCCTAATCTGAAGGCTCTTCTAAAGGTAGAAGGAGGCCCAGTAGCCTATCTGGGCTTTTTATGTAAAATGGAATAAACTTCTATTGTCCAATTTGGATTTTCTGTAAGTCAAAGTCACACTTCATCCTAAATAATGTTTCATCTACAAACACAGCTGGCTTTAGAACACAGAGATAATCTTTCTACCTCTGCAACCAGAATCCTAATCTGAAGGCTCTTCTTCTCTCTTCTGGACCACTGCAATAGCTCCCTTCTTCCAGTCCTGCTATTTCATACACCAGGGAGGGACAGAGGCACCTACCAAGTATGCCCATCTGGCTATATCTCTTCCTGTCTCAAAACCTTCAGTGGTTTCCCCTTTGCTATAAGATAGCGCTCAACCTCTTCCAGTGGGAGATAATACTCCATGACCACTCCCCACCTAGCTCTGCAGAGGAGTTCCCACAGTCCCCGCCAAGTGTTGTAAGCCAGGCTGCTTACTCCACTCCATCTTCTCTGCATGCATCATGCCATTGCTTCCCCAGGTGTGTTTGTTCATGCCATCTCCTCCATCAGGAACAGTAACCTGCCCCTGTGATCTGGCCAACTCCTAAATTTCCTTTAATGTGAACTCAGGCTTTAGCACTGCAGGATACCTTCTCTGATCTACCCCTGATCCACACTCCAGACCACATAACTCTGGTTCAGGCCTATGCTAAACAGACCACACTACGTTATAACCATCTTCTATGTGTCTCCCCTTCACAGAGTAGGGACTGGCATCAATTTCATCATTCTCTCACTGGAACTTGGTAACGACCTGGCCAAATCAGACATTCATATTTTTGATGAATAAATAGATGAATTAATTGTAGCAGATTCTGTTGATGAGTGGCCCATATCACCTCAGGACCATTCCCATGCTTGTTGATGCCTTCATACTCCAAGCATCTGGGACTCTATCTAAAGGCTTTCTCTGGCCAGAGAAGTTCCCTGGGCTAGGGCAGACAGACAAGAAATGCTGAGAAATTACTTTCCCCTGTAACCAGTCTTGGATGGGGGTGGATAAATACTCTCACTTTCTCACTTTCCACTTGTGTGGAACAACTCTGAGATGTGATCTATATAAATTCCTTTGGTGGGCTCCTCAAAGATGTCCACATCCTAACCCTGTGAATATGTTAGGCTATGTGGCAAAGGGGAATTAAGATTGCAGATGTAATTAAGGTTGCTAATCAGCTGACCTTAAAATAGAGATAACCCTGGAATATCTTGGTAGGTCCAATGCAATCAAAAAGATCCTTAAATGTGGAAGAAGGGGGCAGAATAGGAGGTCAGAGTTGTACAGTGTTAAAAACTCTGTGGCTGCATCTGAAGGATGAGGCCATGAGCCAATGAATGTGGGCAGCCTCTAGAATCTGGAAAGGGCCAAGAAGAGGATTCTGCCCGTGAGCTTTCAGAAAGGCAGCATTGCCAAGACCTTGATTTCAGCCCCCTGTGAACAAGTGTGGAGTTCTGCACTATAGAACTATAAGGTAATACATTTGTCCTTTTAAGTCACTACGTTTATGGAATTTGTTACAGCAGCTACAGGAAACTAATACACTCCTAGAGCTCCCCAGTGGGACTGAGTCCCAGTTGTTCAAACCAGTAATTTGGTCATTAACATACATCACAC